TAAATAATCAGATGCTATTACCTTATGAAATTGGAATGTTGACCTATGGAAACCTAATATTGCATATTATTCTCTTGTCAAATGAGATGAAATCTTCAGTTTTTAAGACTTTGGTATTTTTTTTTCTAAAACTCTTTTGAAAAAATGAATTTCATTGTGAGTCAAAAAAGACATTGGAAACCAAGATAAAATGCACGGTTCCACTACAAAGAAAAAAGGGAAGAGGAGGATATTTGCCTGACCTATTTTATATTTTAAAATTCTGGGATTGAAGTTTTAAAAATGTCAACATTAATAAAAATATTCTAAAGTGAGACATTATCTTTCTAGGAAGCTTTTCAAATTGGGATATACTGGGCAAATACAAATACTGTGCACAAGTCAGTAGCAATTAAAATGGTTCATAACCTGACATCTCCAAAGTGGAAAGATGGAGGTAATGGTGAAGTTGTAACATTGGATGAAGAAGCATTTGTTGATGTTGAAATAAGACTTGGTGCTTTTGGACAACAAAAGGTAAAGTCAATGTTGATAAGGCTCAGTGAAAATAGTCCTTTCTACTTTAGTGCCTTTAGGATATTACTTATCTTCAATAGTATATAACAGTGAAACACTTGATTTCCTCCTAGACCTCTGTTTTATAGTATTTTCCCTTTATTAGTGACAAGAGCTGTGTCACATAATTTATCCAATAACTGCTCTATTTCAGAACACTCGGCAGTCACTTGATTTATGGTATGTGGGGGAAATAATTTAATTCTAAAATATTCACAGATTGTACCTGGCCTTCCTGTTTTAGAACAGGAAATAGAGGTGCTAATATTCAGACCATTATGTGAAAGGACAGAGTCCCCTGCAGCATAGATTATTTCCTGAGCAAAATGATGTGGACTGATTCTTTTCCATAGAAGCACTGTTGCAAAGCCAGGCATAATGGTGCAGGCCTGTAATCCCAGAGTTTGGGAGGCTAAAAGTTAGAGGATTGCCATCAGTTCAAGGTCACCTGCCCTAAATAGGGAGACTCTGTCAAAAAAGCTAAAAAAAAGATGTTACAAAAGGGAAGTGGGGGGCCTGGCCCTAGCTCAGTCCTTTAAGTGGCTGCTTCCACAAAGCTGTCAGCCTCAGGTTGCTGGAGTTCGAACCTCACAACTCTCCCGCT